AGATCACCATAAAGATGAACTTTCATGAATTATCACTATTTAGATGAATTAATGATTTTATAGAATTCTTGATTTGATTCAAATGATCTTAAAACAAATATTTTAAGAAATGGTTTTAGTTGTTTTACTCAAAAGATGTAATAAAGTTAGAATCAAGAATAGAATGTGGATTCTCTTTCCCATCTTGCAAGATGGCGGGTGAAAAGGCAGAAAAACCTGATACAAAGGAGAAGAAACCTGCAGCCAAGAAGGCCAGCGGTGATGCTGCTCCCTCTGGTCCCCGGGCCGCTGATGCAGCTAAAAAGGGTAAACCGAAGAGCCAAAAACTCAAGAAGGTGAAGCCCCATTGCAGCCCGGACCCTGTCCTGGTTAGAGGAATTGACAGGTACTCCCGATCAGCTATGTATTCCAGAAAGGCCTTGTACAAAAGGAAATACTCAGCTGCCAAGACCAAGGTTGAAAAGAAGAAAAAGGAGAAGGTCCTTGCTACTGTCACAAAAACAGTTGGTGGGGACAAGAATGGTGACACCCGGGTGGTGAAGCTTCGAAAAATGCCTAGGTATTATCCTACGGAAGATGTGCCTCGGAAGCTGCTGAGCTAAGGCAAAAAGCCCTTCAGTCAGCACGTGAGGAGGCTGCGCTCCAGTATCACTCCCAGGACTGTCCTGATAATCCTCACCGGGCACCACAGGGGCAAGAGAGTGGTTTTCCTGAAGCAGCTGGGCAGTGGCTTGCTACTTGTGACTGGACCTCTGGCTATCAACAGAGTTCCTCTTCGCAGAACACACTAGAAGTTTGTTATTGCCACCTCTACAAAAGTTGATATCAGCGAGGTTAAAGATCCCCAAACACCTGACTGATGCTTACTTCAAGAAGAAGCAGCTGCTCAAGCCCAGGCATCAGGAGGGCGAGATCTTCGACACAGAGGAGAAATACAAGATTACAGAGCAGCAGAAGACTGATTAGAAAGCTGTGGACTTGCAGATTTTGCCAAAGCTTAAAGCTGTTCCTCAGCTCCAGTGCTACCTGCGATCTCAGTTCTCCCTGACAAACCGGATGTATCCTTACAAACTGGTGTCCTAAATTGCTTACAACCTAATTAAACAGATTCATATGTTAAAAAAAAAGAGAGAGAATGTGGTTTTTTTTTTTTTTAGTTTGTTTATATAGTGGATTACTTGGATGGATTTCCATATGTTAAACCTTCCCTGCAGCCCTGGGATGAAGCCTACTTGATCATGGTGAATGATTGTTTTGATGTGTTATTGGATTCAGTTTGAGAGAATTTTTTGAGTATTTTCAAATCAATTTTCATTAGGAAATTGGTCTGAAGTTCTCTTCTGTTGTTGGGTCTTCATGTGATTTAGGTATAAGAGTAACTATGGCTTCATAGAATGAATGTTGGGTCTTTGAGTGATTTAGGTATCAGAGAAACTATGGCTTCATAGAGCGACTTAGGTAATGTTCCTTCTGTTTCTATTTTGTTGAATAGTTTGAAAAGTACTGGTATTAGGTCTTCTTTGAAGGTCCGATAGAATTTTGCACTTTAACCATCTGGTCTGGGACTTTTTTTGGTTGGGAGTCTTTTAATGACTGCTTCTATTTCTTTAGGGGTTATGGGACTGTTTAGATGGTTTATCTGATCATGATTAAATTTTGGTATCTGGTATCTGTCTAGAAAATCATCCATTTTATCTTGATTTTCCAGTTTTGTTGAGTTTATGCTTTTGTAGTACAATTTGATGATTTTTTTTTAATTTCCCCAGTTTCTGTTGTTATGTATCCTTTTTCATTTCTGATTTTGTTAATTTGGATACTGTCTCTGTGCTCTCTGGTTAGTCTGGCTAAGGGTTTATTTATCTTGTTGATTTTTCTCAAAGAAACAGCTCTTGGTTTTGTTGATTTTTTGTTTCTACTTGGTTGATTTCAGCCCTGAGTTTATTTCCACCTGTCTACTCGTTTTTAGAGTACTTGCTTCCTTTTGTGCTAGCACTTTCAGATGCCACAGATGCCAGAGAAACAAGGGGAGATAGAACCTGTAGAGGTCATATCCAGTGGTTAGGGACTGCCCCTGATTGAGGGATGGGGCCAACCACTCATCTCAAAAATATTAATTCAGAATTGCTCCTGTCAAAAGGAAATGCAGGGACAAAGAGTGGAGCAGAGACTGAAGGAAAGGCCATCCAGAGACTGCCCCACCTAGGGATTCATCCCATCTGCACACACCAAACCCAAACACTATTGCTGATGCCAAGAAGCCCTTCCTGACAGCATCTTGATATGGGTGTCCCCTGAGAGACTACGCCAGAGCCTGACCAATACAAATGTGGATGCCCACAGCCAACCACTGGACTTAGCACTGGGACTCCAATAGAGAAGTTAGTGGAAGGACTGAAGGTGCTAAAGGGGTTTGCAACCCCATAGGAAGAGCAACATACCAACTTCACTCCCCAGAGCTCCCAGGGACTAAACCATCACCACCAACTAAAGAGTACACTTGGAGGAACCCATGACTCCAGCCGCATATGTAGGAGAGGATTACCTTATCTGGCATCAATGGGAGTGAGGCCTTTTGTTCTGTGAAGGCTAGATGCCCCAGCATAGGAGAATGCAACGGCAAAGGCAATGAGGCTAGAGCGAGTGAGATGATAGAGGAACACGCTCATAGAAGCATGAGGTGGGGTGAATGAGATAGGAAGTTTGAGGAGGGGAAATTGAGACAGCAGATAACATTTTAAATGTAAATAAATAAAATAAGCAATAAAAAGAATAGAATGTGCCACTTTTCATAATAGTAAGTAGAGGCTCAATTGTAAGAAATATAGTGGACTTTCATAAATTACTGTAAAAGGACTTATAGGCTTGTCACAAATTTGTGTTTAAGGAAAAACATTAATGTCCAAGAATAAAGTCACCCCTTTCCATTCCTTTCTGGTCCCAAAGGAATTAGTGAGCTTTGAGCTTCTTGTCCGGCCAGCAAGGTCCCCTAGATGACTTGTCAGGGAAAGGAGCTCTAGGAATAAGTCCTTAGATTTGTTAATTTGCCAGAATTTAGCATTTACATAAGTACAGATACAATACGAAGAGACTTACAGTGTAAGAGATCAATGTTTATAGATCAAGCATAGTTAGCTTTTAAGCACTTTTGAAGCACATAACACTATGAAACAACTCAGTCTCCATCGTTTCAGAAAGCACAGAGGTTTATAAAGTGAAGATAAAGCACAGTGAGTTATGAAGTAAAACTAAAGCACAGAAAGTTGAAGAGACAAGTCAGTGGTTTTCATCCACAGAGTAAGCAAGAGATGGTTAAGTCTCTAGAAGCCATCAGCTTCTAGCCACTGGTATAGTTAGAGAGACGTACAAGGCCAGATATTATCCAATGCTATGTGTCACTTCAGTTCCAAACCCCAAAAGACCCCTGGCAGACAATGTAAATCTGTAAAGGTAATAAATACCTACTTCTTCAAATAAATACAAAGTTACAAGGATCATAAATAATCATAGAAATATTTTTATGGTGTTCTGTGTGTCCTGTAATTAATGGGATTAGAAATCAATTACTGAATTCTAAATGTCGATGCTCTATACAATCTGTTCATTAAGTGTTACACAGTAAAATAGCAACGAATCTGTTCTGTTCAACATGATGAATTCTGTATGCTTTCTTCTTTCTCAGGAAGAAAATATCCTGTCTTAGAACTTGAATCCCTTCTTTGACTTTTACTTAACTCCACGGTTTCCATTATTATGTTATAGTAAGAAACATACATTTTACATAATATCACCGAATCTATAAATTCACCAATCTTTGTTTTCCCTGTCACCTGGGGTGAAAATCTAGGATGAAAATCTCAAACCAGTCTGATATAATCTTCATAAAATCTCAAACCAGCCCCCTACAATCATTAGGAATCTGTTTTATTCTTTCTATCATATTTACTATTTATATAAAACAAATAAATCATATTTGCTAGAATAGTGTAGTCCCTTAGAGTAGAAGTAACATTTCTGAGTCATATTTGAAGTGCAAATGCCAAATCAGACATGAGAGGGCCGGAGCCCTCCAATCTTGATTGAACAAGCCATCTTGGAAATTATTATGTAGGTAAAATTTAGGAACCATAGTCCCAGGTTATTTTTTGTTTTTGTTTTGCTTTGCTTTGTTGTTGTTTGTTTTGGTTTTTTGTTTGTTTTGTTTTTTAACCTGAGTCTGTGATAAAAGAATTGATATCTTTCTTTTTACAGTAGTATCAGATTCAGTATCAGTATATAAGCTGGGTCGACTCCCAGCAGTTTCTATTACTCTATGTAAAATAAGCATGCAGATTGAATCTGACATAACTTTCAGATCCATAAAATGGATGATGAAAAGTATGCGATTTTGAAGTTTGAAATGTATGTTAAATAATTAATTATCATTAAAAAGTGTAGATGTCTTTCATTCAATCATCAGTGAATTGAGCATTCCTGGTTACGTTACATGTAAATTACTGTGTCTTAGAATAGAAACAAATCACTTGGTCTCTGAGCCTTTAGTCATTTTACCTTGTAAAACATGAGAATTCAATTGATATCTCAGCTCTAACATCCTGAGAGACAACACTGAGAACAACAATAACAGCCCTATTTGAATAGTTAGCTCAACACATATCATATAAATGAGGTCATGTAGGTATAATTTTTAACATTCCTATTGTACAGTCATTTTAACCAACTATTTGTTATTCAAATACTCCGGAAAAGGGTTGATTACTATGAAGCTTCATTAAAATTAATCTAATTAGGTTTTGATTTCTTCAGGAAATTTACTTGGAATCATTTTTGACCATGTTCTTTGAGAATGGAAGGAATCACCCACACGGACAAATAATTTTGGTTTTTGCAAGCTTCAGTAGTTAAAGGTGCTTTAAATAGAAGTGGTCATTGTTTCCTGACTTCAAAGCAAACTGACGTTCAAAGGAAGATTCATTGCCACTTCTTGCTCAAGAAACTGTACCATGAGGTTTCATCTCTTTTTCTTTATTCTGCTCTTTTGGGCCACAATATTAACAGGTAATACGGAAACATTTGTCCGGAGTACTTGTAGCAATGGAGTTGGGGAGGCATCAGTTGCTGTTTGTTAAACTTATAAAGAACTGGAAGAATGAGAATATTATTATACTGGATTTACTATGCTATTCTTGAATTGCCCCTATAACAGAAAACAGGTACTAGAAAGTAACTTAGTAAGACAAGAATAAAATATAGCTTAGTGAATAAAATTGTATTGATGGTTCTTACTTATGGCTGCTTATGGATATTGTTGTACATATGAAGGTTATAACACATAGAGGGATTGGCTTCTACTGTGTTTATGCTCCATTATGTTAAAATCTAAAATGATTACAAAGTTTAAAATGAAAGTAAGTATAATCATCCTATACCGTGTTGGGAAAAACTATTGTGAGACATTATCATCAGCAAGGCATAAACAGCTCAGTGTTAGAGCATTTACTTCAGTTTCACTGTACTCTACAATAATAGACTATCAGTGAAGTCCTTTTTAGCATCTCTTTCTCAAAATCGCAAGCCAATTATGACTCTTGTTGGTCTTTTGTTTGTTTTTGTTTTGACGGTAAGGTGCATTGTCTTTTTTTCTTCTCAATACAGTTTCTCCAGTCTGATCCAAAGTTCTACACAAGGACATAATTCCTGATGTCATTCATATGACAATTATCTTAACTAGAGCACTAAGTATTTACTGTTATCATCATCAACTACATTTAGGTGAAAAATTTACCCCATGAGCTCTCTCTTTCCATCAGGAATGAAGTAAAATGCTTGTCATCCTATGTAGTGATACACCTGCATTAACTTAACAAATGGAAATTAAGAATACTCAATTTCAATTATTTATTTATAGTAATTTATTAATCAACTCATTCATTCATTTTAGATTGTTTTCCCATTATGTACCCTAGGTTTCATATGGCCTCCAAAACATAATAGATTGTTTTTCTAATTATGTAGATATTTATTATATAAATGTATTTCAAGTCTTTATCTTCCTTACAGCATACCTCTTTAGGTGCCATCACTAATAACTAGCTACTTATTTATTCCTTCAACAAGGAGAAAAATTAACATTCAATACTGGCTTGAAAATTATAAATCATTTAGACCATAGAATGGCAAAAATTATATTGTCTGTCAATCTCTTTAGGTATTATTTCTTTTAATTCCAAAAGGAAGGTATGTTTCTTTAAAATTATACATGAACTAAACCTATAGAGAACTCATTATTACAGACAAAAATACTTGAAAAACAATTACTATCACTATATCTAGATACTATTTTCTTTTCAAATTCAGGAGACATATAATATGACTTTAAGCCCCAAACAGCAGGCTTATTTTCAGTTTCTATCTCACAATCTATGTTAATGTAACTAAAATAAATAAAAAGTGCATCATCAGATCTGGGTATATGGCTGAGTGCTTAAGAATGTTTAGAGTTATAATAGAAAGTCTTACGTATAGGCCCACAGTTCCCAGCACTCACCGTAAGTATTTGAACTCTACCTACAACTTCAAATCTAGGGGATCTAATGATCTCTCTGGCCTTTATATGAACCTTCATGTATGTGCTAAACATAAACTATTCCACGGACAAACACAAGCATAACAATAAGTAAACATTTAAATATATAGAATGTCATATGTGCCATTCTTAATATTTTGTAAATTATTTTCCTTCATTTTCTAATTTTAATATAATAATGCATACAGCATATTTTCATTCCCTCTTTGTTCCTTCAAGAAACTCATATAAGGTCTGCCTACCGTATCTACTAATTTTCCAACTGCCTTCCGTTCTGTATAACCCCATGTCATTATATTACCATTAACTAATGTCCTTCAAATTTCTATAGAGGAAGTTTCCATTTGGATACCAGCTTTCTTCTGCATTTTCTAGGCACTAGAAATGGAATACTTTTTTGTTGCTCCATTTTTTTCAACATTTTCTGACAATAGAAATTGTTCTATTATCAATGGGAATTTTTTAAAAATCCTATATGTGCTATGAATATAGGACAACATATTTTGTATTGAAGAGAACAAACTGTCCTTTTTTCCTAATCTTTCAAAAACATTTCTGGTAAAATAAATAAATAAATATATACATACATACATACATAAAAAAATTGTAGATGATAGAATTATTTTGAGAATAATTCTGTTCAGATTTATACTATATATTACTACAGATTCATATACAATTTAAAGAAAATCTTTATCATATTAAGATGTTATATTGTAGTATAATTCCAGTTTCATAATTCTAGACAAGAACATGACAGTGTTCACCATAGCAGAATATCAATATTGGTAGAACTCCTCATGTCTCCAACTACAAATTCTTCAGTTGCTCTTTTTTTTTTCTGATTCAAATGGAACAGTGATTCTGATTCAAAAGACAGTGTTAGTAAACTTCCTTTTTCCAAAGAAATACAATAAGCAGATATTTCAGTATTTATGTAGCCTAATAAGCTCCACTCTCACTGAAATAGAAACATTTATATACAATGTGGAAATAAGTGTGTGCCAGTGAAATCACACACCATAAGAAAGTTGTGGCAGGGTGGATTTGGTCTCTATGCAAATTTATTCATTATCAAGATTAACAAACAAAATTTTGAAGAATGCCTTTTTAAACAACTACTATTTCAGAAGTGTTATGATAACTTTAAAAACCATATAAGAGCCCAAAGTGAATGCCAATTCTAAACCCTCCTTTCTCTCTTCCTTCTTTTTCTCCCTTTCTCTTTATTTCCCCTCTCCTCTTTTCTCTTTGATCAATGCTACTGTTACATGTAGATACAATTTAATATTTTTTGGGAAAATCACAAAATGTTTAGGAAAGTTGTGAGCATTTGAATAATTTGTTTAACATTGCCTAATTCTAAATATTTTGAAAGATAAAGTTAAATTGCAATGAAATTTTTAGTAGTTAATAAAGGCCTAAGATACTGGTTGATTATTCATGAGAACAGAAATGGGCATTCATAATTCTATGAACAGTGACAGAAAGAATGTAAATCCCGTTTTTCCATTGTCTTCAGGAACTGTCCTTGAGCCAACACCACCCAATCACTTCTGAACAACTACTTAGTCCCAGTACACTTTCTGAGATATCCTTTATATTAGGTGACAGAAAACTCACTTAAACTTTCCCCACCATTTGAGAATGGTCATCTTATAATCTTTTGTCTCTATAATGATCTCCTTACGGCTATGTCATACACTGATTCCTAATTCTAGTCATTCTTTACCTCTTGCAGCTAAAAAGAGTTATCCTGAGTATGGTAGCTTGGATTTGAGGAAAGAATGCAAAATGAGGAAAGGTCATTGTAAACTTCAATGCTCTCAACATGAACTTAGGATTGCTTTCTGCATAAGACCTGGAACTCACTGCTGCATGTAGAATTAAAGATGGAGGACGAAAAAGAGACACATTACCCAAGAAGAAGAACAAGTCTCATTAAGTCTTCCCAGCAGGATTTTCAAGATATGTGTGTCTCCATAAAGCAAAAATGATGAAATACAATTTGATCCTGAATCTTTCAGAAGTTGTCCTAGCTCATGTATTAATTAGTACATTCTAAAACCAGCTGAGACAATATTGTGAAAGTTCCTCCAACAGTACTCAGGATTTTGTCTTACAGTAGCTGACATATTAATATGAAGGGTACACCTAAGTCAAAGGAAAGGAATGTCCCTTGAGATACAGCCATCCAGTAGATATACACTGTCAGCTTATTACCCCTATGAAAACGTATAAACTACTAGATTTTGAGATTAGACATTGAATCATTTTCAAGAGAGACGAAAGTCTTAGGAGAGAATAGTCAAGGTATGAGAATAAAATGGCAGAGAAAATTCACATTGTCATTAGAATGTACTCGTGTTTAGTATTTAGTGGAGGAAAATGTGAATACAAAAGGTTGAAGAGCATTTCAGAAAGAAGAATGTAGACATAGTTATTTTGTAGCAAAATATAAACTATGCCCAGTAATTTAGTTCTGCTCTTTACTCCTAAGGGCTTATAATGCATGAGGAGATACCCATAAGGAAGCAACACACATCTTCAAATATTGTGGAGATACTGTTTAGCCTCTTTTTAACCTCAGATTTTTCCTGCCTCTGAGTAAAACAGTATTCCTCCCTATAAATCTACGCAATAAATCCATATAATAATCATCCACAATTCCTAATTTTTATTATTTGAATAGCAGTACACTTTAGCAGTTTCCATCAATATCAAAATTCTTGTGAGACAGTCACTCACCCAATAAAATAGAATAGAAAAATTAAATAAGGAGAAGGGAAATTAAAGGCATACATGTTTACTAGACTATGAATCAGAAAGAGAGAAAATAAATAACTTATTTTAGTGTTGCCTCTCTGTGAGTTCATTCCCGAATTCAAATGCATATAAAAGGTGTGAGAAAGTTTATAGTAAACATTTTTTATAACACTGTGATGATACACATGGTAGTAATATGTCTTCACCACAAAAATTATATATATATATATAATCAATTTTCAGTATTTTAATTCAATGAATACATGAGTTCCATTATGATGTGGTAATTTTCTAAGCATACATTGGAGTTTTTAGTATACTTTCCTTTTTAAGACTTTAATAACTTCAAATAGTCTGATTATCTCATGTGTTCTCTTGCAACATATATACTCAAAAGTGTTTTCTGGTACTCATTTGCAGCAGTCTTTCTCTTTCTGTCCTCTCTTGGTCATGTCATTTGGACAATTCTCTTTAGAAGAGCTACAGTCTCCATTGCATGTTAACCGGCAGGACACATCTGAGTACCTCAGGCTTTTACCCACCAGATGCCAACCTACTTTAAACTTCCTCCTTTAAAGATGAAAATCATAATGTGTGCATGGCTTGATAAATATCTTCTATAAGGACTAAAACACATGCAAATACAAAGCATCCATTCCCGCAGAAATGAAAATTTTAAATGAAAACAAAATAATCAGCAACACTGTCACCTGGTCATTAATCACATTCTCTGTGTCTTGTAAGAATAGTTTTTCAAATATTATATATATATACACACACACACATACACACACATTAGCTGATGGTGTGTTGAGAATTTCAGGGAAAAAATGGACAAAATTTTCTGCAAATATTTTAATCACATCAAGAAAGATATTAGAAAATTTTGATATAAAATGAATATTTAGGATTTTAACTAACCTGTTATTGGGTCATTACTACAAGTCCTCTAGAGAACAGAGAGGTACAATATGCTATCAATATATGTATCCCAGAATTTAGCTTGGCAAGATATACCAAAAAGTTGAAGATGGTTAGGAATACTTTAGTCAACAATGTAGCTATGTCTACATTTTAAGCAGGCTGCCCTAGCATGTCTGATTCTCTAACTACCAACTCTATCAATGTCCAACTGAGAGAAATCACATCCTTCTCAGCTTCCGAGCTGTCTTCCCTCAAGTTTACACTCAAAACATTATCCTAGGTATTCAGTCCAAGACAAATAGGCCACAAACTTGAAGAAGATACATAGAAAATATTTCAGTATTGTCTATTTGCATCAGAATTTAAAACTGAGCTAAGTTGTCTGTGTTTGTAACCCTAGCATTGTGGGGTAGAGTCAGACAGAGTGTGGGAGATTTCAGACCAGTCAGTTTAGCTGAAAGAGAGCTTCAGATTCAGTCAAAGACATTTTCTCAGAGAATAAGGAGACTACAGTGAAAGAATTCTCATGTTCTTTCGCTCTGCATATGCCCATATGTACACAAATACTCATGTGCACTGCAACATACACACACAAACACAAACTTTCTTTCTCTCTCTCTCTCTCTCTCTCTCTCTCTCTCTCAGACACACATACATACACACATACACACATACACAAATAAGTAAATGGATGAAGTTGAGTGCATTCTTGGTATGTTAGTTAGAGAGGCTAAAATTCATTAGAGATTGACAAAAAGAAGGACAAAGATTACTCCCAGATTTCTTGTATGGGATCTCACAGAACAAGTCTTGTTATTTCCTACAAGATTTGAGTCACTGAAACAAACTCATTCAGTTCTTGACATGTGAAACTTTGGAAGGTAGAACAGATTATAGAAATGCTTATTTGGAGAAGATAGAAAACCACTGGCTGTGTTGCACCCAAAGAAAAAACAGAGAAGGGTGGTGGCTCACTTATAGTACCAGATCTTGGATATAATAGAAGTGGCTCCCTACCATATTGTAGCTAGATAAAATAGCCAATGAGTAGATATGCTCTGAGTCCAGTGAGGCTCTGTCACAATAACGGAGGGAGAAAAGCACCTGGCTTTAGCCTTTTAGGTCTCCATACTCATGCACACATTTGTGTATGTGTACTCACATAGACATGAACACAGACACACACAAAAATAAGAAAATCCATTTATAATGCATATCTTTTGTTTCCAAATGATATGACTTTGTAGAATTTGGACATTGCTGTTTTAATAATGATAATAAAACAAAAATGTCAGTCACATTATATGACTAATGATTAAGATAAGCCATTCTTTTTATGAATTTATGGCATCTGAAAAATTGTGCAAAATTGAGTACTAACAAATCATAATGGTGGTTCAGGAATCTCGGTTAATTTATTAAAGTGCCAGAAAAGATTTTGAGCACATCCTTTACTCTCTTAAAACATATCAACTATAATTCTTAAAAGTTTAATTTTCATAAAAATATAGCAGTGGCCAGAAACTGCCTTTACTAAATTGCTTCCAGTACTCACCCAATGACCAGAGAATACTGGAAAGTTAAGAAATGCCCATTATATAGAGTGGAAGGATATACCTGTCTGAATTTTATTTATTTTCTAAGCAGTAAGTTCTCTGAAATGACGTAATTTAAATCTAAACATAGTTATGTTTACTCTCCAACTTTTAGTAAATTTGATTTACATTTTTTCCTTTATGGCTATTATCTGACATACATCTCAGATGAATAGTATTAAAATGTCATTTGTATAGGTAGAATCATGGACTCAAAATAATAAGTCCATTGTTAAAGCTTGAAAAATAAAAATCTAACATTAAAGTATGTTTTATTCTAAAGAAAAACTTAAATTGTAGATTACTTTGTCAACATCCTCACGTAACAGAACTTGTATTAACTTTACCATAGATTTCTATATTAAATATTAAATATTTATATAGCTTAACATACAAAGCAATAATTAAAGACTTTCAGAACACTGTTTTTTCTCTTTGGATGGTTCATTAAAGCCATATAATGTAATGTAATGTAATGTAAGCACAGCTACACTTACATGTATTTGCACATGGGCAGCATTTCAGTTTCCCACATAACTGACTCTGTCGGCAAGTCTTCATAACCATTATCCTGCTATTACTTGATTACATAGGTGCAGTGTTAAAAATTAGAACAAATCAAATTATCATATAAAGGTTTAGCTCTAGGGCAGCGGAATTTAAGAAAAACAACAAGCATGTTATAAAAATATATACGATTAATTATTAGCTTCTTTTCTTTGTTAAGCGTTACTGATGGATGGTAGAAGAAAGGGAATTTGTTTCTAGTGAAAAGAAAGTAATTTTAAGTTAAAATAAATCTCTGGTCTACGTACATATACACATGTATTAACAATTGTTGCGATTATGAAGAAGCCATAAATGTGAAAGAGAGTGAGAAAGGGTATGTGGAAGGTTTTGGGGGAAGAAAAAAGTACAGGGAAATGATGTAATTATATTACAACCTTAAAAACTAAAAAGTAATTAAAAACAAAGAAATCTCTGGAATGAAAATCAAAGCCCTTTGGTAAAGATATGGAAGACAATGTACTGTCCCTTAAAAATGGTGAAATGCAATCTCTACAAAAATATATAAATGTAACAGCCCGTTCTGCTGCTCTGGTCCGCAGGTCAGGGTCTAGCAAGAGAGAGAGTGGGGATGGAGGGGCGAGAGACGTGACAAATGGAGACAAGACAGAATCTGATCAAGTCTCTTTTATTGAAAAGAAATCCTGGGTATTTATACCCTTTACCACGTGCCTTGCCCTCATGGACAAGCACAGCTGAAGACACTACATCATGCCCCTTGCAGCATGGAGACCATGTGCACCTAGCTGCTGGCGGCACTAAACAGCAAAACAAGATGTTTATCAGAGTGTGCTCAGCTGTTGCAGGCTGTTGAAAACAAGTCTCTTGTTAGGGTATATGGCTCGAGATGGTTGTAAAGATGATAGCCGCTTTCGGCTAAGAGTTGGCTCCCAACATATAAATATTGTTTTAACAAGTGTATGTAAATTGGTTTAGTAAATGTAGACTAAAAAATATGTATCTAAGAGCTTAGGTGCTGCAGACCTTCAAGTTCATCATTGGTGCATTGGTGTGGGGCAAGCAAAATGCTTGTAGTCATTTGTAGTCAAATGACTGCTGAATTGTGAACAAAATTATGAAGAGTTGCTCCAACCCCTCTTCTTGGACCCCATTATTTCCTAATCAAAACATATATTTTCTCTCAAATTATTAATATATCTATAATTTCATATATATGCATGTAAGTTTAGCCATAGATATCAAAGAAGAAATTTATAATCTTATTCTTATTAGCATCTGTTAATTATACCCAATAGTGGGTTCCATTGGGATACTACCATGCATATATAAAATATAACTTGACCATCTTCACCCCTGACTTCCTCTTTTGTCCTGTACCTATTCATTTTTTTTTCTTTTCAGAGAGTTTCCTTCCACGCTTCATCTCTCTCTTTTTCTTGATTGCAGCCAGAAGTCATATTGACGTCAGACATAGAATAGAGAGGTGTGAAAACGTGCGAGGAAAGTGTAAGACCTACTGTGATGTTGATGAGTATGATTATGGATACTGTATCAGATGGAGGAACCAGTGCTGCATCTAAACTGCCACACAGAAGTGCTACTTAGTGTCCAGTCTGGAAAAGAAGTGCATTGAAGCCCAACTCAAATGTTCATCCATGCACATACCACTAAGTTTAAGAACTGAGAAGTAAACCATTATATAACCACACTGGAGTATATATTTTCCTGCATCTTTTGAAGAATAGGTACATTGTTTTTGACTATTTTCTATTACAATAAAAGTGCTGTAAACATTTTTATCAAAACTTTGTGTGAATATGTGTATATTTTTATTGTTCTTAAGTAACTGCTTAGAAGATAGAAGAGGTGTGTGGTAAATATACATGTAATTTAAAAAAAATAAAGCATCAAGCTGTTTTCTACACTTATTTTATCTTAGACTATTTCTGCCTGCCTGCCTGCCTGTTTGTCTATCTCTGTATCTCTCATCTTTGTGTGTGTGTGTGTTTGAGTGTGTGTGTGTGAGTGTGTGTGAGTGTGTGTGTGTGTGTGGTGTGTGTATTGTGTCCATGTCCACCTACCATGGGACACATGTGAAGGTCTCAAGGATCAACTCAGCTCATCATTCTTGCTGGTTGAACCTTCTTGTCAGTCCTGCTTTTAAAATATAAGACTTTACAATTCCTTAATACTAATATTAGGAAGAGTTCAGGGAATCACTCCTAAGAGAGGAAGGAAGGATTATAGAAGCCAGAAGAGTCAAGGATACCATAAGAGCAGGGCTCACACAATCCACTAACCACGATTCATAGGGGCTCACATTGACTAATGCGACAATCAAGGAGTGTCCACTGGTGTCTTTGTGGAACTCTTCACAGTGGGGACAGAGACTATCTTTGAATCTTTTTGCCTGCTTTTGGGATTCTTCTCCTATTACTGAGTTGCCTCAGCCAAAGTTGATATGAGGGTTTGTGCCTAGTCTTACTTTAATTTGTTATGCCATGTTTGGTTGCTATCTAAGATTAGGTAGGCCTGATCTCTTCTAAAGGGAAATAGAGGTGAGTAGAATTGAATAAGATAGAGGTATGCAGAAGGCCTGGGCAAGAGGAGGGAGAAGAATCCACAGATGGGATGTGATATCTGAGAGATAAAAATGATGGATAAATAAGAGAGAGAGAGAGAAAGAGAGAGAGAGAGAGACGAGAGAGAGAGAGAGAGAGAGAGAGAGAGAGAGAGAGAGAGAGAAGAATAGAGTTGTAATTTGTCCATTTTCTAGTGAAGTTAAATTAAGTCCTTCCTTATTTTTACAGGTTCTAGTAGGTATGATGCTGATGTTTTATTTGAAGGCAAATGAGCAGTTATATTGAGCATTCTAAAGTGTTTCTTCAACACACACCATTTGGAAAGCTTCAGGTTATACTTTGTATATTATAAATTAAGAATATGTTTATAATTCCATTTAGAAATCTTTGCACTGTCTATATGAAAAAGTTTGTTCTCTGATAATTATTACGAGATGCACAACAGAAAGTGAGTACACCGACTTCCACCTTCTACCTTTCTTCTGCCTCAGTTGCTCTATTCCCTTTAATATATACATTCTGAGAGGCAACTTATTGTTTGAATGACTTAAGAAAATTAAATAAATGATTTGTGTTTCCTATAATGATGCAATAATTGTTGATAAATGAATATTGACTGCTGGTTTTTAACTTTACATTGTATCTTGTTATAGATCTGCTGGCTTTTAGTTCATATATTTTGAATCACTGTAAGTGGATGAATAAATGGGCAAAAATTTCCCTCCTCTTATTTTAAATTTTGTTAGAATTATGTAACTTTGCTCCTCCTTTACCTCCTTTCAATACTGCTCATCCTCCCTCACTAAGACCCTCCTTCTCATCCCTATACATTCAAGTTCACAGCCTCACTGTCTTTGATTACATTTGTTACCTATATATTTGTATATATGTATGCAGAAATGTACATAAGCACAAACTTCTGGGTGCATGTTGTCATTTGTGTGAATATGCTTTCAAGGATGGCCACTCTGTCTTCAGTTTCTCTTAATAACTCTTTAATGTTATAAAATACTACATAAAATTGCTAATGGTATTCCATGTTTGAAATTTTCTTTTTTTATACCTTAAAATAATATGTCCAAGATTCTTTGAACTAATTCTAGCATTATATCATTTTCTGTTTACTTACTTAAGATTTATCTTAGTTTTAGAAGTGGTGGTGTGTCTCTAATATCTAGTTGACTGTTTAGATCATGAATCTAACTTATTTCATAGATTTTTAATATAATTTTGCATATATATATATGCATATATATATGGATATATATATGCATATATATATATATATATACATATATATATATATATCACCTCTGTTCTTTTATGACCATGTCTTATTGAATTTTGTACTTTAAATAAATGTATTTTGTTTCTTTGATTGACTCATGAAATGTATACAACACATTTACATTGTGTTATTTCAGAGAATGTTCTGGTGTTTTATGTTATTTTTATCTTGGTTTTCTTTTCTTTTCTTTTGGAAGGAAGTTGAGAGGGTAGCAGAGACAGAGAAAGGCAGAAAGAGGGAGGGAGAAGGGGAGGGGGGAAGGAGGGAGAGGCCAGCCATGAGCACGTGAAGAGAGAGAGGGAGGAAGGAAATGGGGAGAGAGCAGGAAGCAGGAGCAGGAAGGCAAGAGCAAGAGCTATCTTGGTTTTCTTTTTTTCATTTCTCACTTCCTAACATTTGAACTGTCACAGATTTTAATCATATATAGTGACTTTCCTCTATATTTCAATTTCATTTAAAGTATATTCTTGTATTTTTCCAGTGTGGAAGATCATACCCAGAACCCCAAATATACTAGCAAAGTACAGAACTGCTCTCTCTCACACACACATGCCAGTGTTTGTTTCTTTTCTTTTACTTTTCTCTTCTCTTTTGGAATATGTGTCCTTACTGGCTCTAGTTCTATAAGTGGCTAAAATAAGAAAAAAAGGAGAAGACTTTGTCTTAAAATTACATAGATTTTCATTTCCATAAGATGTATTGTCATGTAAATGTTATTGCACGTCTACAAAAAAAAAAAAAGCAAGATTCTTACTACAATGGAAATGGGCTAGTTTATGCTAGATATAAGGAAGGATTCACATGACTCAGGAATATAGATTTAGGTCACCCCAAAGTCTATGTACCATGTGCTGACAATATAAAGAGGTTTGCACAGCAACTGAAAAAGGTCATAGGCAATTTTCAAGTGTATTGGAAGAATCATTTCAGGAGGCAAAGCAGGGACTCATGTGCAGCAAGCCTCACATGCTATTTGATGTCACTCTTTTTGAATGGTGGAAAGTAGCAGCTAACTTAATGCATTTTACAACTTTTCACCAGGTATTCACAAAGGTATTTGATCCGACACAGCAGTGGGAAACTAATGGCAAATAATTGGGCTAATAGGCTTCTTCCTAAAATCATGAAATAGAATTATGTTTTCACGTCATTTCTAAACTTATATTAAAATATAGACACCAAAGGTCCTAAATTTATCAACTTAGAATATTCTATAACATTTTTTTAACATTTTTCTCACACTAGGTAATGGGGACCACTGAGAACTCCAACAAGAAATGTACAGATATGCCTTTTGATCTTGGAGTTTTTACTTTATGGTAACTGTGTTAAAACTTCCTGCAGGCCCATAATTTAAGATACCTACAATAAGGTAGTAGACGTTTTAAAAGGTTTGGAGGCACAGAGATGTATAAAGGTTATTCCTGATTTAATGTCTACTCAAATTTAAACTTTGATTAGGAACACTGAATTACATTATTTATCTGAGTGTATCATTTCTACAGCTTATTTATGATAGACGTGTCCATTTAATTGAGATGACAGGAAAATGAGAATTAAAAGATACAAGAAAGAGTTTTTACTTATATTTCAGATACCTGTAATGGGATCTTTCTAGGTTTAAACTATGTTCCTTTTCTCTCTGCCTACAAGTAAATAATACGGAAAAGAGGGGATACATAGGAAATTATGTAAAATAACACAAATATAGGGATGCCGATTCCAAAACATGTAGAAGTGTGTAAACATCACTTTAATAGTTTGGGACAGGGTTTCTATATTTAACAGCGCTATCTATACTGGACATCACGTTTTAGAGCAAGCTGGTCTTAACCTCCTAGAGATCTATCTTACTATACCTCGCTCTAGTTCTTTTCTTACATGTAAACCAAAAAGACATAGAGTAGATGACCCCTGCTACTTAAAGTTACGTCATCAGGCCTGTTGGGGATTGGTTCTAATAGTTTGTCTTAATTCAGCTCCCAGAATCACACTGGAATATACTTGTCCAAACGCTGAGGGTCCCTGCCCCCAATTTGTTTTTGATTGGTCAATAAAGTTACTAACAGCCAATGGCTGGGCAAGGAGAAGGTGGTACTTTTAGATTTCCCCCGACTAAGGAAGAAGAGAAGATGAAGGAGCAGGATCACCGTGATAGGTAAGCAGATAGATCAGACTTAAGAGCTGCAGAAGAGAAATCATCCAGCCACATAAGAGTCAGGGAAGCAGCCTCAGGGGCCACTCCATTGACTGAAAGTGGGGTAGCAGGGAAAAAAAATAGAGATGTTAAAAGGAATATCGGAGGGAAAGTGGGTTAGCCAAATGGAGGTAAGGAGAAACCCAGCCATTCCCATGTTAAGGCATATTAAAATTAAAGCCAGTATTTGTGTCTTTCATTTCTGGGATCCAGAGAACTCTGGTGGTTGGTGAGAAGTATGATCACCCGCAGGGAGCTGTAGGGGATCACAACCCCATAGGAAGAAAAATAATATCAACCAACCAGACCCCGACCCCCCACCCCCAGAGCTCCCAGGGACTAAACTAGCAAGGAAAGAATACACAGGGAGGGACCCACGGCTCCATCTGCATATTTAGCAGAGCAGAGAATGGTCTTGTCAGGCATCAATGGGAGGCGAGGCCCCTGCTCCTGTGAAGGCTTGATTCCCCAGTGTAGGGGAATGCCAGGGTGGGGAGGAGAGAGTGGGGTAAGACTTTCATAGAAGCAGGGGAGTGGGAGGGGATAGGGGGTTGGGGGGGGTGATCCTGGAATGGGGATAACAATTGAAATGTAAATAAAGAAAATATCCAATAAAAATAAATAAATAAATAAATAAATAAAAGATTAAAAAGGGGAAAAATTAACAAAAAGAGAGAGATTACAAAAGGGATTAACAGATTACACAGGCCAATGCCTGCTGTGTGTCCTG